ATATATATATATATATATATATGTATAAAATTAAATATATTGATAAAATTCGAATTAATAATTAATAACATTTGTTTACATAGCTTTAATAAATATAAAACAATGTTAAAATATTTCTCTTTATATACAATATCAATACTATATTGTACAATACATATGTATCAATACATAAGATACCTTTTTGTAAAAATAGATTTCATAGAAAATATTTCATAGAAAACAGCTTGATTTTTTCATTATATATATTCCCATGAAAGATAATTTTTGTTATCATGTTTCACATTGTTCTAATTTTTTAGACATTGACTAGCTTATGTAGTAACACAAAAATAACAAAAAATAACAATTTATCACTAATATTTCTCTAATTTTATACAATGATATCATAAAATGATAAAAATATCTTATGTATTCAATAAAAAAATATAACAATTACATTATTCACACATGTTTAAATTGCACAAATATAAATGATAATTAATTAATATTAATGAAATAAGGTATGTATTTTATATTAAAATATTTCTGTTTATGTTAATAATTTGATTCGTGCAGTAATTCTTAATCAAAATTTAAGACTAGTAATATTATAATATATAGTATATTATTTAATACATAAGCAACATCATTTAAATGCTAATTGAATACTATATTGTCAATTTGCATTTTACTAAATGCATGTGCAAATTTTAAAAAATAAATTATATAAAACTTTGATGATATTTTATACCTGAATGATAAAAAAGCATTAAATCTTTTTACCAATAATATTTACCAATAATATTTATTTATTGCAATAAACATCCACTTGTATTCTTCGGATCTTTGGTAGTTTGATGAATTGAATCTTCTTTAACAGGAGGTAAATTTTGCTCTTTTTCTAATTTAGCAGGGTTTAACCCGGATAATGTTCTGTATACATTCAAGTTCCATACAGAATGATGTGATTGCATTTGAAAATCAATAGGACTTACTAAACCAAAAGTAGCTTTTGTATCTAATGTTGGAACCTCTCCTGGTATCAGATGATGATAACTTAAAAATATAAGTTATTAAAATTAAATTTTATTCAAAAATGGCATGTTTTAGTTTAATGTAACACTTACATTAAACCATTTTCGTGGTTACATTTATCAAGAGTAAGTTTTACTATAGGTGCTAATCGTTTAAATACAGCATGCTGATCTGGTTTTACTCTAGGTGCTGGTCCATTTATTTTTCCATATTCCTGGCATAACATCTTTGCCTTCTTTAAACATGCTTCACTTTCCTGCAAGGCTTTAATTGCCTCTCCGCATTTATCCATAGCTAATAAATTCTCACCACAATAATTGTAAGCCTAAAAAGTTTAATTTTAAGTTTGAAAGAAATTTTAATCTCTTTATATTAATCTTTTTTCCTCAATAATTTGTTTACATATGATTGATAAAATGCTGCTTTAAGCTCCAGATATTTAATCCACTGTGCTGATATCTCTGGTTTGAATGGACGTAATGTATTAGCAGCATCCAGAAATAATTTACTTGTTTCATTAGCTAATGCTGATATTAAACTGGCATTATGTTTTAATTCCACCGCTCTAGCTACTGTTACTGTAATATGATGGAAATAAAACTATATATTTATGAATATTTAAATAATAATTTAAATAATATTCATTATATAACCTTCTTGTGCTTCTGCTGTACATTGATTCACATATGCATTTATTATTCTTGGATCCAAATCACTTCCTAATGGTGGAGGATTTGCCAATTGTGGTAAAAATTCTGTTTGTACAAAAGTAAATATACCTGCAGCCCGTCTCAACATAGTATGTACATCTTTTGCTTCATTCATAGTTATACTAAAGTATAATGCATGATATTTCTGATAATATTATTTATTTCACATTTATGATTATTATATGTAATTATTTGCACTTACTCATCCTTAGCAGCAATCATTGCAGCATGTTTCATAAACCAAAGTCCTACATTCATGCTTATGTTAGCTGCTTCATAAACAGAATCAGCGCTGGAACTATAATAAATATTTTACATCATATAGTGAAACTGTGCTTCAGATTAAATAGATATAAAAGAATATATTACTAAGTATTTAATCCCAATAATGTATGTGTCCATTTATATACAATAACATTTCTAAGTTTGCTAGGATTAGGTCTGCCAACATGTTCAGATTGCTCTGCAGCAGAATTTATTTCCCATATAAATCCATATAATAAGCTTAAATAGCTATGAAAAGCTGGTTCTATAGTATCGCTTGAATTATTTGGATTTTTTATTAATTCCAAAAGACGACTTCTTGATAACTTTAGATCACTGTAACAAACCAATTGTTATAATGTTAATATTACAAATAATAAATTTATATTTTGATATTTGAATTGAATTTTTTATAATACAATGATATTTAAAACATTTATCGACCATATTTATACATTTTCACTTACAATAATTGAATACATTTGATTTACTTTCTCTAGAAATATAGCTAACCTGCATAATTTTCTTGTAGCATCAGTAGGATCAGTTATTTTTAATTCGAATTTTTGATTTGTCGTGGCTTTTAACACGTTACGATGAAACCAATGCGCCATTCTGCTAACAATTTAAATTAAAGTGTTCTCTTTGATAGTATTCGAGTATTTAAGGCCAATTTATTCGATTTGACAGATAAAGGAAATCGAAGTGCAGCAGACAGCACAACACAACTACATAAACGTTGTACTCAATGAAAGATATTTCACTTTTTGCGCAAATCTTCGCACACTTCCGTTCTGTGTGTCAGCGTGTAATCAAGAATCGCCCGTCATATTTATTTTCTAAAAAGGTAAAACTCGAGAGAGAATATAATACATAACAATAAATAATACTATAGATACATAATAATATGTGCTCTATGTCATTATTTGTATGGTAATTTTTTCTTAACAATATTCATTTGTTGTTTAACCTATACAATTTTAATGAAATATATACAAAATAAATTTCAAATTTTTATTTATTAAAATAGTTTTTCTTATTTTTAAGTTAATTATATTTCAGCTTTATTGGGAGAATTTTTTACTTTTTTTTTTATTTCATAAAAATATTTTTAAAAATGAAAGATGTCCTTGAGGCCTGATAATATTTTATCTACAGATTGATAAAATTGAAAGATATAAAAAAAATATAATAAAATATAACTGTAGAGTTTTTTTTATATAACTTTATCAACATTATTAGATCACGTAACATCTAAGTAAATCTATTACTATTTTTCTTTTGTTTAGATGGGTGAGCATACAGGTTTAACAAACTGTGAGGCACGAGAACTTTGTAAAAAGCCTGATTCAGCTACAAGTGGTTATATAATGCAACAAACAATGTATCGTATTAAAGACCCAAGAAAATCACTACCTTTTTATACCGAAGTACTTGGTATGCAGTTATTACAGAAACTTGACTTTCCTGAAATGAAATTCTCTTTGTATTTCTTGGGATATGAAGATCCAAAAGATATACCAACTGATAAGAGAGAAAGTATTGAATGGACATTTAGTCGTAAAGCTACTTTAGAACTTACTCAGTATGTTAAAAAAATACATATAGCTTAATTAATGTTAATTTAAATTTATTGGAATTAATTTTATCTGTTTACTTGTAGCAACTGGGGTACAGAAACTGATCCTGATCCTAAGTATCATAATGGGAATACTGAACCCAGAGGATTTGGTAATATACTCTTTAATTATTATATAAATAGAATATAAAGCAAAATTTATCGTAGGTCATATTGGAATCACAGTACCTGATGTGGAAAAAGCATGTGAAAGATTTGAGAGATTAAATGTGGAATTTGTGAAAAAACCTAATGATGGTAAGATGAAAGGAATTGCTTTTATCAAAGATCCCGATGGTTATTGGATTGAAATTTTAAATCCAGTAAATATTGCAAATCTAGTACCAAATCAATAAAGTATTTTACACGAAATAATTTTTTTGACTATTCAAAAATGTATAAATTTCATCAAACAAAACAATCAGATAAAACCAAATCATTTTTATGTATATGTATATGTATATATACTTTTATATGTACACGTACATGTTAAAATTGTAATTATTCATATTTATGTATATTTTATAGTACTTGTAAATTATTATATTATATTGTGTTATATGTATAATTTATGTATAATGTAATATCTAATTATTAATTAAATAAAATCAAAATATTTATTTTTAAACAATCAATTTTTTGTAGAATCAATTCATATAAATTTTTTCCTGCTTTATAACTTTAAAAATAATTTTATTTTATTATCGCGTGAAATTTAGTGAATGAAAAGTATAGATAGAAAACGACTATTGGTTTATCTATAGCAACGTGTCACATGTGCACATACACATAAAGACAATACTACTGAGTGACGAGTGGAGTATCTTCTACTACAGAGTTCCTAGGTATTTTAACTGTATACAACAGAGAAATGTCATATTACCGTATATGACTTTTAATTTTGATTAAATCATGTCTGTATAGCTACTTATATTTGACTTAAGTATTATTTGCAATAGTATTCTGCGACAACCTTTTCTCGTTTATATCATTAATATTTTGTTTGTCTCATAATTTTCAATGATCGTCTATTATATTAAGGTTAGGTTTCAAACCGCAACATTATATACATCTAGTATATATTATTAAAAATTATATCATAAAGAAATGAAAATGATATTTTTCCAATTGTGTCTTTGAAACGAAAAGAATATATGATTCAAATATATTATATAATAAATATCATTCAAATTTTTCCTTTTTAGTATGGTAGAAGATAAAAAATATGAAATTGACAGCCGAATTGAGTGTGATGGACATCAAGGTACATTGAAGTATGTTGGCCCTGTTGGTGACACTAAAGGTTTGTGGCTTGGTATAGATTGGGATGATCCAACACGTGGAAAACACAATGGTACATATGAAGGAATAAAATATTTTAAAGCTAGGTAAAACCATATAGAAATGTAAAGTTATACTATAGTTTAATTGTATATGAATAATTGTATATTTATGTTTCATAACAGGCATCCAACATCAGGTTCGTTTATACGACCAGGTAAAGCAAAATTTGGAATTTCTTGTCCTGAAGCTATTAAAGTTCGGTATGGTCTTATCAATGATGAATTAGCTGGCATTGACAGAGACACATTGACAAGTTTACAAAAAGAAATTAATGCACCCTTTTTGGAAGTTGTTGGTTTTTCCAAAGTAAACAAAAAACAAAGCAAATTTGATCAATTAAAAATAGTGTGGTTGAGAGAACAGTGTGTTAGTACTGCTGGTAATCCTAATGAATTAAAAGAATTATGTCCAAATTTGGAAGAACTAGATATATCTAAAAATTTAATAAATAGTTGGCAAATTATAGCAGATATCTGTTGTCAATTGCATTGTCTTGTTCGGCTTAATGTGAGGTAAATTACCAAAATTCATTAAATTTATTAATAATAAGTAATTATTATTATTGCTGTCTATTTCTATTACTCATTTAGTGAAAATTATTTACCAACTGAAGAAAATATGGAAGTATTAAAAGTTTCATTTTTTATGGTTAAATATTTAACCATAGCAAAAATGAACTATAATTGGTTTGATATTCAACGATGTATGTGTATGTTTCCATCTCTACAAGAACTTTCAGTTTCTTTTAACATTATTAATATCATACAAAAGCCATTAAAAGATGACAATTTAATGAAAATATGTAAATTAACTCTTGAAGGAAATTTGATATCTAATTGGGATGATATTCTTAAATTAGGGTCACTTCCATGGCAAGTTATAACAGATTTAATTTATATATATATATATATATACACAATTAACTATAGTCTGTAATGATATATATTAGTAAAATATTTATATTTCTATATTTTTTTTGCAGCTTAGAATATCTTAATTTAAATTCAAATAAAGTAGACAAAATAAGATTCCCAACTATTGAACCAACAGCAAAAACCACAGCCTTTTCTAATTTACGGCAATTACATATATCTCAAAACAACATATCAGAGGTAAATATTTATATGACATAGATAAATTCTAAAGTAAAATAATTCTGCAATATAATTTATAGTGGCAATCTGTATCAGAATTAGAAAAGCTTAATAATTTAGAAGATTTGAAATTTAGAGAAAATCCTATTTTGAAAAATGAAAATATAGAGACTGCACGACAATTAGTTATAGCAAGAATCTCAAAATTGAAATCATTAAATGGCACTGAAATTTTATACAATGAAAGACGAGGTGCTGAGTATGATTATTTGAAATTATTTTTACCAAAATGGATAGAAACAGAAAATGAGGCCGAAAAGAGAAATCGATTCATAATTGAACATCCTCGATATCCAGCATTAGTTGCAAGTAAGTATATTTATGAAATATATATTGTATATTAAGAATTTTTAATAATTAATCATGATATATTACATAAAATTTTTAGAATATGGGATTTCTGATATTCCCTCATCCAAAGCGAAAGTAGAAATGGTTTCTAATGTCATAACAGTAGAATTTGTATGTCCCGATCATCTGAACCAACCTAGAGGAATTAAGAGAAAACTTTTAAAAGATATGGAAGTTCAAAAAGTTATTGGACTTGCACAACGACTTTTTAGAACAGGAGGAAAAATACCAAGACTTTCATTTATACAACAAAATGTAATTATAATATTTTATAATTTATATATATCATATATATAAATAATAATTTATATATATGCTTCTGCAAAATAACAAATTTGCGATATTGAGTATTTAAATATATTTACATAATAATGGACTTACTAGATTTTGTATTCTTAATACTACTTTTATGTAATTTTTTAGCTTTCTAAGGACGAAATACCTCTTGATAAACCGCTTCAGGAACTCAGCTATTATTCAATACAAGATGGAGACCAAGTTATTGTAAGGTGGTGATATTAAATGAATTTCATAGATATAATTGTATTTTGTACACTGTTAAAATTTCATCACCATACTTTGTTATTAAACTTTTTTAATTGCATAAGTATATTTTTTGTGCCCCGCTTATGATTGCTACACTTTGTTAATTTTTATTCTTAATTATGGTCAAGTTTATATATAAATATTCCATTTTTTATAAAAATTGTATATTATTGAAAAAAATATTTTTCATTGCAAAAATCAATACATTTTTTAATACAAATATATTTTTATTGTGTTTATTAAAAATGGCACAAAATTTGCTATAAATGTAATATTAAATATTTAATTTTGTTGCGCCTTTTGTTCAATTTTACTATATTCTTCTTTTTCAAGCTGTTCTCGTGTCAATAAGGACAATCCCAATTGATTTTCACGCGTAAATGGCTGAGCCATTTGTCGTAACCAACGTTTACTTATCTAAAAGTTATAATCCTAATTAATAATACTTATTTTGGAAGTTTTAAATCTAAAATTTTACCTGCACAGCTTCTTCAGTTGACAAATTACATAAACTATCAGTCAAGTGTTCTTGTATCCATTTTGGTAATTTACTTCGTTTATCCATTCTCGAAAATCTCTAAAAAAATGTTTTGTTAAAGATATGATTATTAAACAACAGAATTATTTTTCATCATTTTTATTACCTTATCTGCAAATACCATTATACCATAATCAGTTTTTCCTCTAATTGCTCTTCCAACGCATTGTGCTGCGTGTCTCATTGCATCGAAAGTTAAAAAATCATTTTCTCTAATCTGTAAAAAAACAATGGACATATTATTAATGATACTAATATAAATATTTATAAATTTACAATTTCCAAAACCTACTTGAAATTGATCACGAAGATATTCTAATCGTGCTTTTAAAATACGCGATTGTGTATATACGTATGGAATTCCAAACATTAAAACAGCTCTTCCTAAATGGTGATCAAAATCAACTCCTTCTGATACTTTACCACGTGCTACAGAAAGGAGAACAGCACCTCTTCCATTTTCACATGCCCGTATATAATTTATAAGAGCTAAACTCGTTTCGGCAGAATCCTGAGTTTCAATAAATAATAATTTATGCCTTTGAAGTTGATCTACTACACCTTGGTCATACCTACAAAAATAAAATATAAATACATGTTAATACTACTCGATGATTTCAAGTGACGTTTTCTACGTATATATAATTTGCTAACAAAGGCCAATTCAAGCCTTCTTGTTGATATAAAGAAATTATATTATTGTATATTTATCGCGGATTCATCCTCTTTTTTATACTGACAAAAAGTTCTAATATTCACCGCGTTTCTCCAAGGTCATTGTGTCGGGAGCGTTTACTACTGTCACCTTGGTCGCTGTTTTGAAAGTCTGTTCGTTTTATAAGGTAAATTTCAGCATCGATCTCCCAATCGAGGAGCGACTTTCACAGATCATATCAGGGCAATAAAATACCGGCCCATAGTTTAAATATCTAATATCTAATAATAAATAATTAATGTATATAAAATAGGCTCGCGGGCAGTGAGAAGCGAAGAAGTTAATCATAATTAATGAGAACGCTGATCAGTTGAGGACGAAGCATATGTCACAGTGAATG